GTCGGCAAGGGTGAAGGCCAGGAAACAACGCACGCGGATAGCTGAGTTGAATGTCAATGGCACGGTGGTGGACGACAAGCAGGGAATTTTGGACGCAGCAGCCAATTTCTTCAACGGGCTTTTCGGCACGGATAAAAGAACTCACCGAACGAGTTGGTTACTGGACCGGAGGCTGTCGGCGGAAGAAGCGGAGGGGCTTGCTCAGGATTGGGCGGAGCAGGAAGTAAAAAATGCTTTCAAGACGCTGGCGTGCGGGAAGTCGCCGGGCTTGGACGGGATTCCGAAGGAGCTGTTTGAGCTGCACTGGCACATCCTGGGAGAGGGCTTCATGAGCCTGGCACGCTCCTTCGTAGCCTCTGCATCACTACCTGCAAGCACCAAGGAGGCGGTTACGATATTGTTACATAAGAAGGGGGATAAAGGCCAAATAAGCAACTATCGGCCTATCACGCTTCTCAATTTCACTTACAAAGTCCTGGCGAAAGTGGTGGTGGACCGGATGAAGAAGGTGCTGCACCGAGTGATCTCGAAGGAGCAGTACGGCTTCATAACGGGTCGGAGATTGTCTGACGCGGTCAGCCTGGTGGCTGATATCATTGATGCCGCAAACAAAGGGGACAAGGACTGGTTTTTGCTGCTGGTGGATTTTCAAAAAGCTTTCGACACCGTCTCCCGGGGCTTCCTTTTTGAGACGCTGGAGAAGATGGGCTTCCCTCCGAGTTTTTGTCAGAGGTCCACTGGTGATCCCCGATTGATCCTAGGGAAGGGTTACAGGCTCGTTGTCCTGGGGGGTTATGGGCGCACTGACCCGCTACTTAATAAGCCCTTTTATCCCAATGGTCTAGTGGTTGGGATTCTGACATGGTATCAGAGCGAAGGTCTCGGGTTCGAATCCCAGTGTGTGCACTTCGGGCATCCCAGTGCGGGGGGGTGTCAGAGGTCCACTGGTGACCCCGATTGATCCTAGGGAAGGGTTACAGGCTCGTTGTCCTGGGGGGTTATGGGCGCACTGACCCGCTACTTAATAAGCCCTTTTATCCCAATGGTCTAGTGGTTGGGATTCTGACAGTTTTGTGGGTTGGGTGAGGGGCCTGCACAAGGAAACGAAGACAAGGTTGTTAATTAACGGATGGAAGAGTGAAGCCTTGGAGGTGGTCTCGGGGGTGCGGCAGGGCTGTCCTCTCGCCCCTTACCTCTTCATATGTGCGGTGGAACCCCTGGCCCAGGAAGCGGCGAAGAGGCAGCTGGGCATTGTCAGTGACTCGGGGAGGAGGATGCCTTACCTGTGCTATGCGGACGATACCACGCTACTGCTGCAGGGGAGGGAGCAGATTGCAGAAGCAGGGAAAATGCTGGATTATTTTGCGCGCGTTTCTGGTTTGGTCACAAAAAAGGATAAGTCGGTGGTGATGCCGCTGGGCAGAAATCTTGGAGGTCGTCCCTGGAGGCCGGATGGTTTCAAATGGGCCGGTGCGAATGATGCGGAAAGACTGCTTGGAATCTGGGTCACCGCCTCAGGTGACTGCAAGGCGACATGGGACAGGACACTGGCGAGACTGCTGGGAGAGATGGGGAAATGGGAGTTGAAGTACCTCACGATTACGGCAAGGGCGGTCGTCATCAACGGACACATTACCCCGATCATCGCCTTCCAGGCGCAGGTCTACCCGCCACCGCGGGAGGTCTGGGTTCGGATCTCGAAGCTGATTCATAACTTCCTCTCAGGAAACCACGCGTCGGAGGAGGGGTGTTTCATCCTGTGGGGGAAGGAAACAATCTTTGCAACACGAGAGGAGGGAGGTGTCGGAGTGAAGGACCCGGGGGTTCTGGTCTCCTGTCTGGCTGCTAGAAGGATCGGAATCCTGCTCACCGAGACGGACGACTTCAAACGAGACATGATGCTCGCAGCAGCAGGGCTGCCGCTGGGGCTGGATACTTTCCTATCACATGAGAAGCTGCTGAAATACTGGGTCGATGGGAGCGCGCGATGGAAGCAAACCTGCGAGTGTTTCATGTCGTCGCCGTTTGCCACCGTCAGCATACCTCTCACCGCAGCGGAAGTTGCCGCAGAGAGATTGGTTTTCAACAAAGGCATTCTGCTTAACGGGAGAACGCCGGTCGGGGGACAGAAGGCTGCTAAGGCGCTTTGGGAGATCAAGGTGGGGGACCTGGTGGCGCCCATGGCGAACGGTGGGATGGCAGTAAAGAGCGAGGAAACCCTAGCAATGTCGCTCGGAATAGCATCTGCTCGGCTGGCTCTGAAGGGGCTGGCTGCCGCGCCTGAGAACTGGAGGGAGCTGCTGCTCGCCTCATCGGAAGGAATTCAGGGCGCAGTCATGGGAGGGAGAGCGGTGGTAGCCCCTGGGGGTAAACTGTTCTGCACGCCCATTTTCCACCTCGGCCAAGTCGCCCCGATAAAGCACCTGCGGTTAGCATGGAGAAGACAGGGGCACTCGGCGCGGAGGAGAGAGAAGTGGGCGAACCGATGGGGGGGGGACAATCGACTGGAAGCGGACGACCAAGATCCGTGATTCGCTCACCACGCCTAGTCGCCCCAGAGATGTTTTAATCAGGGTGCATAACTTCAACCTTCAGGTCGGGGAAAGGCTGGCTTTCCTCAGCTCGAAGCCGAAATGTCCGTACTGTAGCGAGGAGGAGTCACTCGAGCACTGCCTTTTTGAGTGCCCGAGGATTCAGCCAGTAATGGGGGCTTTGAAAACGGCTCTCAAGATGCTCAACCCCGGGCGCACCATCTCATCGCTGGCGACCTTTTTGGGCGAGCGGCGTCCAGCTCAGCTTTTCCGGAAGCAACGCTTACAGCGATCACTATCCATCAGCTGTGGGTTGAGAGATGTGAAGCGGCTTTCCGGGAGCAAAAATTTCGGTTGAGACGGGTACTATGGAGGATAGAGGCAGCTTTCCGGCTGCATGCAAGGATCTTCATGAAACACGCGGGTGAAAAACTGCAGAAAGACAGCGCAACAGGGCAGAAGGTGACACGTGGAGGAGGGCCCAGCCAGGAGATGAGGCTTCTGGATCGAATCAGAGACAGAAACGCTAAGAAGTGGACGTGGAAGGCGGGGTTTGCAGCCATCTGGACACGACAGAGAAGGGGCAACATCAGGCCCAGGCAGCTACACTGAGGGGGTTACCACTTAGCCTCCAAGCGCAGTTACGACTGTTCTTGCTTTTGTACACTTGCCTATTCGGTGTATAATGCAATTACCAAAAAAAAATCATTCTCGATATTCGTTTTACTGCGCACTCTGCAAGTTCATTCATAACAGTTATAATGCACTCGTAACACTCGCGCGTATTTTTTCCCTCACCCGTCAGCCAGCCACCCGGGGGGTGTACGCTGTTGGCATAGGTTGGCAGCGGGTTTGATTGTGGGATGTTGGGTCGGGCCCGTTCCGTCCACAGCTCCATTTGACCTAACTCCTCCTGGGGTTGCGTTCACAAGTACTGTAAATATCGGGCGGAATCCTTCTGGTTTGCAACAAGCTCTGATGGGCAATCCCAAGGTCACCCCAATAAACCAGTCCCGTGGGCAACCCGTCCATGGGAGGCAGGGAGGGATGGAGGTCGGACGGAAGGAAAGGGTGGGAAAGAGCAAGTTGATGGATTTCCGTGCAGCCTTGGCAATGGAAAGTGGATGACTGGGCTGTCTGTCTAGTCTTTTGGACTAAACACGGATTGAGTTGAGATTTGGAAGCCGCCTGGTTCGGTTTGATTGGATGGGGTGTCTGCGTCTTTCGCCAACCACCACACCCACCAGCAGAACCACTTGTATCTCCTCTCCTGTATTGTTTCCCCCTAGAGCCACATTGTGCACACACTGTGCACGTCTGCCTGGATAGTGCAATCCTCTAGGACTTGGGAATGAAGGTGGCTGGTGCGTAGCTTCGTCGAGTTGCGGAAAATAGTAATTTATTACGACTAATTTCTTAATTATTCCCAAAACCAATGCCTTCCAGACGCATCACAGGCTTCAATTGCGAAGCATGAGCACCGCAGACGTTTTCCGCGATTGCTACGACATCCCCTCAAATCAACGGTCAGGAAGGATGTCGTCCAACGCCGCGTCTAGCCCCTCACCGTACGATCAACAACCATATGAATCGCAGCCGTACGCTACGCAGCCACAGACGCACCCGTCGACGGGTCTCCGTAAAGGTCAGCACCGGCGAGGCGCGTCGGCCGGAAGCTTGCTAATTCCCGTTGAGCAGTGGCGGCAGGAACAGGAGCAGCGGCAGGTGCAGGAGCCGCAGCATGATGCGACGATGCAGTATGGGAGAGGCTATCGCGATGAGAGGGAGCCGCGTAGCGGCGAGTACCAGCAATATCAGCAAGATAACTCGCAGGACGAAGAGCAGCGTTACTATTACGAGCAACAGCAGCAGCAGCAGCAGCAGCAGCAGCAGGTACGGCCGCAGCGGCGACAGGCGCAGGAGGAGCAGCAACGGAAGTACGAGCCACGCGTTGATCCACGCCCACGCCAACGCCAACTCCCGTCGCACAACCAGCAGCAGCCGCAATCGTTTGAGAACGAGCCCTTTGAACGAGAAGCTTACATCGCCCGTCCCGAACAAACCACCGCTGCGGGAGCGACACCGCCACGTGGCGCCGCGGCGCAGCAGCATGGAGGCTTGCCGTTTCCGAGCCTTTATCGGCCACGTCACGGCCGGCAGCAGTCCGCCGACAATTTCGGCCGTCCGCCGTCAGCCGCGATACGGCTTCGACAGGAATCGTCAGACCGGCACAGCCGGAGCCACAGTAACCTGCCGAGCTTCGCCTCCTCCCTCTCCTCCTCGCCTGACGTCGCTACGCGCGGCGCGGAGCGTCGAGCATCTCACTCGGAAGAACAGTTAGAGGCGGATTGTCGCAGGGAACCGTCAAAGGTAAGTTATTCGCAGCAGAATAGCGAAGTTTATGCGCCGCAGACGGATGGCGGTATGCCTGGTCGGCGAGTTAGGGTTTCGAGCCACAGCGTGGGAAACATGGGCGAGATAGTTGCCGCATCCCGCGTGCCTCCCCGCGTGCCGGGGCCAGGTCGCGGGGGTCCCGTGGGCGCTCCTAGCAAGGATCGTCGCAGGCCGATTTCGTACGATTCGCAGCAGTTCGCTACGTCAGACGACCTCGCGGATGTCACGCACGGCACCTTCGCCGCCGGTGGTAACCAGCTGGGTGCTGGGGCTCGGCATTTCGCGAGCGGCAGTAGCGCATACGGCAGGGGCGGGGGATTAGGAAAAGGAGGAGTAGGAGGCGGCGGCGGAAGCGGTGGTGGGAGTGGCGGGGGTGGAAGCGGTAAGGGATTACCAGGTGCAGGCGCGTCCCCCGCGGAGTGGTCGAGGGGAGGCGCAGGAGAGAGGCAAACGGGGCAGGGGGGGATGGAGGGGCGCGCAATGGGTGCTCCTGGGCAAGGGATGCGGGCAGCAGCAGCAGCAGCAGCAGGAGGAGGAGGAGCACGGACTACCTCCCCTGGGGAAGGGGCATTTGGGGAGAGGCCTTCCAGGGACGGCTTTCCTGGCGGAGATGCCAGCGGTAGGCGCCTGGGAGGCGGTAGGGGCGGAGGGCGGGGGGCTGTGGTAGGAAAGGGTGGTGGCGGCGGTGGTGGCGGCGGTGGGGGTGGCGGTGGGGCTGGCGGTGGTGGTGGCGGTGGTGGCATTCGAACGACCCCACCGACGTCTCCCCTAGCGAGCCTAACGCACGAGGACTTTGCGGCGTTTGAGGGGTACGAGCGCAACCAGGACGCCATCCAGAGCGTGCTGCAGGCCGCCAGGGATCTCGTGGACGACTGCCAGCAGGAGGGCGTCTGGGAGTCCGAAGCCACGCTCAAGCCGTGGCACGGTGGCGCCGAGCCTGACCAGCAGGTTCGGCAGCAGGGGAGAGGTGGGTCCGAGCCTGATCGGCAGGTTCGGCAGCAAGGGAGAGGGATGTCCGAGCCTGAAAGGGAGCCTCGGCGGCAGATGCGTGGCGGGTCCGAGCCTGAAAGGCAGGCGTGGCAGGCCAATACGTACAGGCAGAAGGAGAGAGATGCGCAGGGGCAGGGGCTTGTTGAGGCGAGGAGAGGAGTGGATGGCGCGTATAGGAGCGAGGAAGAAGAGTACGGGGTCCAGGGGCAGCACCAGCAGCATCAACAGCAGCAACACCAGCAGCAGCAGCGACGGCGGCAGCAGCAGCAGGAGTGGGAGAGGAGGAATGGGTCGTACAGTAACCGGAGCTCGCTGGGCGAGCGGGCAAGCAACAGCCAGCGCGCGTCCAGCGACATTGGGTCGTTCACGGAGCAGGGCGGGTACAGCGCGCAGGAGAGAGGCAGGGCGGCTGGCCAGCAGGGGCACGCATCCGGGTCTGCCCTTGGCGCTGCTGGTCAGGTAGGCCAAGGGAGAGCAGGGGCAGGGCTGGGGGCTGAAAAAGGGGAGGGGGCAGGGGGAGAGGAAGGGGCAGGGGCAGGGGATGGAGAGGGGGGAGTGGGAGGAGCGGGCGGGGCGGGAGGCATGAGTGTGGCGGATGGCATGGCACGGAGGAAGAAGAGGGAAGAACGGCTGCAGGCAGTGCGGTACCGAAACGCCATGGCCGCCGCTGCCCCCCATGCTGGTACCACCACTGACCACCCTTCTGGCTCCGCTCCTGCTGCTGCGTCTGGTGCTGCTGGGGATTCTGCTGGGGATGGTGCTGCTGGTGATGGTGCTGCTGGTGTTGGTGCTGCTGGTGTTGGTGCTGCTGGTGTTGGTGCTGGTGTTGGTGTTGGTGCTGCGAGGGGCGGTGGGGCAGCAGCAGGGGCAGTGGTCAACCGTGGGGACGGGGCGGGGGGGCAGGGCGAGACGAGCCAGCAGCACAGGCGGATGGTGAGTGTGGACGAGATGATTCGAGCTGCACGTGACCAGCGGCGTGCCAAGGCGGCAGCGGTGCACACGGCAGCAGCGGGCCCGTCCGCCGTGGACTTCTACCTGGGCTTCGAAGACGTGCCCCGCCACCTCCTGCACCACGCCCTCGCTGCCGGCATGCCCGCTGGGGGAGCGGTGGGGCAAGCTGGAGGGATGGGGACGGGAGGGGGGGGAGGTGGGGCAGGAGGGAGAGGAGGGGTAGGAGGAGGAGGATCAGTGGTTGCGAGGAGAACAGGGGAAGGAGGGCGAGGAGGGGTGGGGGGCATGGATAGAGCAGGAGAGGGCGGTAACAGCAGTAGCAGCAGCTGGGCCAAGGAGGAGATGGGGCCTGTGAGAGCGGAGGGGCAGGGGGGGGAAAGGCGAGGGGGTGGGGTAGGCGGAGCGGAGGGGGGAGGGGCAGTGGTGAGGGGGGGAAGGGGGCGGAGGCAGGCTAGTGCGTGTGAGGTGGGGTTGCGTGCCATGGGGGGTGGATTGGGCTATGGGTATGGAGACGAAGGTCAAGGGCAGGAACCGGGATACAGACAGCAGGACGGGTATGAGCTGGAGCAGCAGCAGATGCAGGAGCAGCAGCAGATGCAGGAGCAGCGACAGGGACAGGAGGCAAGTGAACACCAGCAGTTGCTGCAGCAGATGAGGCGGAGGAGGCTGCAGAGCGGCAGTGGCAGTGGCAGTGGCAGCGGCACTGGGAACAGCATCAGTGGCGGTGCTGCATCTGCTGCCACTGACGTTTCTCCCCATGCTGCTGCTGCTACGGCTGCTGCTCCTGGTGGTGACAGTGGTGCGAGTGGTCGGCTGGCTGCATTCCTGGCGGACGCTGCCAAGCTCGCATCAGGGGATGGCAGCTTCAGCAGCCGGGAAGGAGGCCGCGATTGCAGCGACAGGGAGGTGGTCGCCGACACTCACACCCATGCCAGTGCTGCTGCCACTGCCTTCACTGGTGCTGGTTCTAGCGCTAATTCGACTGCGCGTGCTGCTGTTGGTGCTGGTGGTGCTGGTGGCGTGGGAGGCAGAGACGGCTATAGGAGGTCCAGGCTAGGCAGTGGGCAGGAGAGAGGTGCGGCAGGTGGGGTTGAATCAGCAGCAGCTGCTGCCCCCGCAGCAGTAGCAACGGAGCTGGGCAGTGGAGAGGGGGAGGAGGAGCAGCAGCAGGCGCCAACACGGCATGCCAAGCACACGATCCAACAGATGGATCAGCAGCAGTCAAACGCAATTCAAGGCCTGGGAGGCCAGCACCACCACCCACCCCAAACCAAACCTCTCCAGAACAACCTCCCCCAGCAGCGTGTGGAGCAGCAGCAGCGTGTGCCGGTGGTGGTGCGGGACGACCCGATGGGGCAGCTGGCGCCCATCACGGACCACATCCTGCGCATGCCGTATGAGGACGTGCGCGCGCGCTACTCCCTGGGCAAGCACGAGATCGGCGTGGGGCGTTTTGGGTCCATCCGCACGTGCCTGGAGCGCGCCACTGGACGGGTGTTCGCGTGCAAGACTATCGACAAGAAGAGCATCACTGTGAGCGCCGCCCTTTTGTAGCAGGTGCTTCTGTTCTGTGCGTGTGTGTTTTCTGGAAAAGCATTTGCATGTACCTGTACCGCGTCACTGGGCGCGTGTTCGCGTGCAAGATGACTGACAAGAGGAGCATCACTGTTTGGCCGCCGCCGCCGCCGCCGCCGCCGCTGCTGCTGATGCTGCTGCTTCTGCCCTTGTGCTTGGGCTTGCTGTTTGGGGGGAGTGGAACTTGGGAAGGTAGGAGTGGAGCCTTTACCTTGCTCAGATGGCGGTGGATACCCAACCGACACACACACACCTCCACACCTCCCCTCCCTGACCTCCCTCATCTCTCTCCCTCCCCTCCCTTTCCTAACTCCCCTCCCTCCCCCCCCCTCCTCTCCCCCCCCTCTCTCCCGTCCCTCCCGTCCCTCCCGTCCCTCCCCTCGCTCCGGTCCCTCCCCCCTCTCTCTTCCCTCCCATCGCCTGCCTCCCCCCCTCCCAACCCGCTTCTGGCAGTGCGCAGAGGACGCGGAGGACGTGCGGAGGGAGGTGGCGTTCCTGGCGCGGCTGCAGGGCCACCCGCACATCGTCAACCTGCAGGGCGTCCTGGAGGATGACCAGGTGCGGCATGGGTGGTGGGCGTGTGGGTGGTAGGCGCATGGGTGGTGGGCGCATGGTTGGTGGGCGCATGGTTGGTGGGCGCATGGTTGGTGGGCGCATGGTTGGTGGAGAGATAAGGAGGGCATTGAGTGGTAGAATGAAAGGAGGTTGAGAAGGCATGACTGCTAAACCAAGAAGAGCCATATGCTGTACAATACACACGAAACAGATGCTGTACATGTGAACCACCACGGAGGAACACGCAATGGACGTCCGAGAATCGAGCCAATCATGCCCTCGCAACACGGTACTTGGTTGTATCTGGGTCACGGCCTATCTAAGTGCAACAAAGCCTGCACTCACCTGGCGTATGGCAATCCTGCCACTACACTGACGAGCATGCTGGCGTGCGTGCTGCCTCCCCTCCTCTCCCCACCTCTTCCCTGCTGCTCCCTCCCCACTCCCCCCCTCTCCTGCTCTCCTGTCCCACGCCACCTCACCCCCACTGCTCCCCCCCCTGCTGGCAGAGCATCCGGGTGATCATGGAGCTGTGTGCGGGCGGCGACCTGTTCGACTGCATCAAGGCGCGCGGGCAGCTGTCGGAGCGCACGGCAGCGCTGGTGCTGAAAGCACTCATGGGCGCGCTGCAGCACTGCCATGCGCACGGCATCCTGCACCGCGACGTGAAGCCCGAGAACATCCTCATGGCTGACCGCACCGATGACCGCAAGGGCATCAAGCTCATTGACTTTGGCGTTGCTACGAGTCTCGAACAAGGTGAGGCGAGGGTGGGGTGGCGCGGAGGGGAGGGGAGAGGCGCCGGGGGGATTGGGGTGCTTCTACTTTCTTCCTTCACTCTCTTCTTCCCTTCTTTACTGGTTCATGCCAGGGTGTCCAGCCTTGCTGTTAGAAATATCGTCCTTGTTTCTGTTCCGGGTACTAGTCCTCTCAAACACATTTGAATCTGCTCTCCCTGCGGCCCCTGCCTCTCCAACCCTTTCCTACTTCCCCTCCGTACCCCCCTCCGCCCCCTCCTCCCCGCCGCCCCTTCCTCTCTACAGCTGATCCAAGCACCGGGGTGACGAGCACGCTGGAGTGCATGGCTGCAGTCGTGACCAAGTGCTGGACGTCTCTGCCTGACGTGTCCACCTCCCGTGTGATGTCGTGGGCGGACATCGACAGCGCCACGCTGCTGCCACGTCATTCGCACTCTCAAGCGAATTCCAATACGTTCTCTCTGCTCTTCCCACCCACTCCTCTCCTCATCCCTTCACAGCGGGTCCGTGCAGCGAGGTGGCGGGCACGCCAGAGTACATGGCGCCAGAGGTACTAGACGCCGTGTACGGCGTGGAGGCGGACATCTGGAGCGCGGGGGTCGTGCTCTACGTCATCCTGTCGGGTGTGCCGCCCTTCTGGGCGTCGACAAATCGCACGCTGGAGGAGGCGATCCGGCGCAAGAAGGTGGACTTCAAGTACTTCAAGTGGGCGGGCGTGTCGGACGACGTGAAGGAGCTCATCATGCGCATGCTCAAGAAGAACCCTCGCTCTCGTATCACTGCGAAAGAAGTGATGAGTGAGTGCCGTGCTTGTGTGGGTGTCATGCCCATGCCCAGCGTGCAATGCAATGATAACGAGCTGAGCATGTTCCTCGTCATGCTCATGCTCAAGAAGAATTTGCACTCCCGCATCACGGCTGAAGAAGTACTGAGTGAGTCATGGGCATGCACGCGGGGCATCTGGTGTCGTGGGGTGTCTTGGTATGTGCCCATGCCCACCCATGAGGCAATGTGAAGGAGCTAAGCTGAAAATGGCCTCGTCATGCGCATGCTCATCGCTCCTGTGCTCGTGCATCACCGCTTAGTTGGCATTTTACGTTTACGGGGGTTTACGTGTACGTGAGTTTACGTAGTAAACTTACGTTTACTTACGTGGGCCCAAAACAGCTTTACGTTTACGGTCAGCCAGAAACATTTCTGACTGCCCGGAAAGATAGGAAATCATCGGACTAAGTGGCTGCATGGGAAGCGCCTAATCATTCACTAGCTTGGTTCTTCTGTGCCCAAGCATGTTAGACATTATTACGTCAACTTACAGATGCCCCAAATCTACACCGACATGTCACCCACCTCATATCAGTCAGAGTTTTCCATTTTGCATGTCAAAAAATATTTTTTTGGCCTGCCCGTGCAACTTTACGTAATACTACGCGTAAGAAAACGTAAAGGTAAACTCAACGTAAGTTTACGCTTTACTTGACCCTAAAAAACGTAAAGTACCAACTAAGCATCACCGCACTGCAAGTGCTGAGTGCAGAAACATGCACACATTCACACAAGCATGCCCGCACACTTGCGCACAAGCATACATGCACACATTCACGCACGTGCACGTGCACGCACACGAGCATACAAGCGTACATGCACATAAGCATACATGCACATAAGCATACATGCACATTAGCATACATGCACCCAAGCATACATGCACCCGAGCATACATGCACTCAAGCATACAGACCTGTCAAGCCGACAAAACCATGCAGCTTTTGTCATCCTGTGCCATGCCTTGCCATGTCTACTGTGTCCCTCATGCAGCCCATCCCTGGGTGGTTCGGCACACATCAGCGGAGCAAGAGTAAGGTGGGGGAAGGACGGGGCACACATCAGAGGCAATGCAAGGACTTCAATTGACGCCTGCTACAGGACATGAAGCCACATTCCAGCTAACATAGGCTACCAGCGAAGACGAATGTAGAAGTTATGGGATCATGCTGACAGGATCTAAGGGTACCTTCCTAAAAGATGTCTCAACAGGAGGCGTCACAGACGCTAAAATTGGTGTCGCGCCTAAATGTATGTAAGGGTACATTCCTACCTACTTTGGGTCTTTCGAGACCAACTTCGGGTCTTCCGGCCAAAAATTGCCCCATTTTTCGGAAGACAAAGTTGATGTCATAACTGAAGGCTCGCAGTGGATAGGATAAAGCTGCTATCGTAAGTATGTGAGAGAACTGTGAAGTCTCTGTAATGACCTTGTTGATAATGCTTTGAAGAAACAAGATGATTATAAGATAGGAGTACAGGAATATAAATAGCAATCCTAGCTAGCCATGTACTTTGAGGGGTACATTCCCTTATTAACCGAATTACATTGCTACAATAACCATGACTATTGCCATTCTACACAGTTACCGTACCACCTTGCATTTTGTAACTGTCTCGTGCGGTTACTGGTCAGTCAAGGGTCACGACCGTTGACTATCTTTGACTGTTGACCTTCGGGTGACCCTCGACCTTCTGCGTGCTCTATATGAACTACGGTATTGCGGTACTGATACAGGTGTTTGCTTCGTTATCAAGTGACGCGAGAGTAGAGAGCCTTCGGGAATGCTTAAGATAACCTTTTGGTTATTCCAACAGTAGTTTGACAGGAAGTTTAACCCAAAGCTTCGGGTCTTCCCGGAAAGGCCCGAAGCTTGATACGAGCCAGGAACGTACTAAAGCCTCGCATCATGTTGTGCATTGTGACACTTGGCAAACTAAGAATTGTGCTGTTGGAAAACCGAATATAGTATAACGAATATTGTATACCAGTGCTGTTTGGTTTTTGTGTAGTCCCCTTTATAAGCCTCCATGATAAGGGGGGGATTTACTGTTCCCTTTGAATAGTACTTGTCAAACTTATATGATCTAGCCTGTGTAGGCTGTAGCGGGTTAGATACTAAGGGGTACACAATTCTAGGGTTTCACATTTTGTATCACTTTCATTCCTTAGTCAACTCATTCTCGTTCTAAGTTTCTCATGGTATCGAGCAGGTTCCCTAGTGGGAACTGTCCTAGGGCCCACCAAGATCGATTTTTTTTCCTGCCCGGGGCGCGCGTTGTCCCCTGCCCGAGGCGCGCCTAGTGTTCTGCCCTTAGCGGCCCGTCGCGCCCTCCTTAGTGGCCCCGTCGCGCTCTCCTTAGAGGCCCCGTCGCGCACTCCTTAGCGGCCCCGGCGCGCCCTCCTTAGCGGCCCGTCGCGCCGCTCTTAGCGGCCCCGTCGCCGCCTCTGCCGGCCTCGTTGCCGCCCTTGACGGCCCCGTCGCCGCCCCTACCGGCCTCGTTGCCGCCCTCTTCGCGGCTTCGTCGCCGCCCTTCAGCGGCCCCGTCGCCGCCTCTTAGCGGCTTCGTCGCCGCCCTTCAGCGGCCCCGTCGCCGCCCCTTTCCGTGGCCCCGTCGCCGCCCCTTTCCGCGGCCCCGTCGCCGCCCCTACTCGGCCTCGTCGCCGCCCCTTTCGGCGGCCTCGTCGCCGCTCCTTCGCGGCAGCGACGCCGCCTTTCACGGCCCCGCCGAGCCGCCTTCGCTGCCGAGCCGCTGAGCCGCCGAGCCGCATTTGCCGCCGAGCCGCCGAGCCGCCGAGCCGCCTTTGCCGCCGAGCCGCCGAGCCGTCGAGCCGCACTGCAGCCGAGCCGCCGAGCCGCCGGGCCGCCGCAGCCGAGACGCCGCCGTCACTGCAGTAGCGGCCCTGTCCCTGCCGGCCTGCCCCGGACCGCCTCACTTGCCTGGTAAGCGCAACGCCTCTGCCACTGCACTGCCCTACCCCGCTGTGCTCACTGCCTGTCTACTGCTGTCATGGCCACCCCCAGTGTTCTCACCTTTGACGCTGAGGGTCGGGCTGTTGACTTTGAGGTCTGGGTAGATGATCTGCAGCTTTTCCTACAGTGCGATAGGGCAGACGGTCTCTCCCTGTTTGGCCTCACTTCTGGTGCCTCTCCTGCCCCTGCTGCTGATGCTGACGCCACTGTTCGCTCACAGTGGGCCACGCGCGATGCTGCTGCCCGCCTTGCTGTGCGCCGCCACTTACCGACCGCTGAGCGCGCGCATTTTTGTCAGTACAAGAGTGCTAAGACCTTGTACGACGCTGTAGTTGCACGCTACTCTTCCCCTGCCACCGCTGCTCTTAGCCGCCTCATACTGCCGTTCCTCTTCCCTGACCTCGCCGCTTTTCCCACAGTCGCTGACCTCATTACACATCTTCGCACTAGTGACATTCGCTACCGCGCTGCGCTTCCTGCTGAGTTCTGCGCCAAGAACCCCCCCCTTATGTACATCACCCTCTACTACATAGTCACCCGGCTCCCTGACACCCTTCGCTCGGTCAGGAACCACTTCCTCTCTGTTTGCCCCACCACTCTCACCGTTGACCTCCTCGAGGAGCGCCTCCTAGCAGCAGAGAAGAGTATAGTCGCTGTAGGAGCCTCTCGTGGTGACCCTCGTACCCCTGTCTTTGAGGGGTGCTCCCCCTCCCCCCTCTTGCCCTCTGTTGCCTCTGCTGCTGCGGCCGACCTCGTTGGTCTTGAGTCGGTCGGCGCGGCGTCTGCCCCTAGCGGGAGACGCCGCTCAGGCAAGGGCAAGGGGGGCAAGGGCGCTGGAGGAGCTGGCGGGGGCGGTGGAGGCGGCGGTGGAGGCGGCGGAGGGGGTGGGGGTGGCGGTGGGAGTGGTGGCGGGAGTGGGGGCACTAGTGGCGGCAGTGGAGGCGGAGGAGGCGGCGGTGGTGGCGGTGCGAGCGGAGGTGGTGGAGGTGGAGGCGGTGGTGGAGGTAGCGGCGGCGTAGGTGGAGCTGGTCGGGGCGGCGCTACGCAGAGGGTCGGCTCCGGTGGTGGTCAGCGCCAGCAGCAGCAGCAGCAGCGCACTCGTGAGACCCCTTCCCCCCAGCAGCTTCGTGAGTGGTACACTGCTCGTCAGCGGGGTGGGGGTGCTGGCCCCTGTACCTACGTTCTACGTACCGGCGACCGCGCGGGTGAGCAGTGTGGGGGTCCGCACTCCACCCAGCGCTGCTTCGGCCGCTTGACGGACGCTTGGCGTCATCAGTTCCCTGACGCTACTGAGATCCCTCGCTGGGGCGAGCTGTTTAGGGCGGGTGTTCCGATCTTTGATCTTGACTATGATGCTATTCTTGCTGCCATGTATGCTGTGACTATTAGTGATGAGGGTGACTGTTACCGGTGTTTTCCGCCTGACCCGGGCATTGAGGCTACTGCTCTAGGTGCTGGTGAGGCTGCTGCTCTAGGTGCCAGTGAGCCTGCTGCCCCAGGTGCTGGTGAGTCTGCGCTCTCAGGTACCGCGTCGGCTCCGGCCACCCACACCTTCACCCTTGACTCGGGTGCTTCCCGCTCCTTCTTTCGCGACCGCACCACGCTTACGCCGCTTAGTCGGCCAGTGGCAGTCTCCCTGGCAGACCCCTCTGGGGGTCCTGTCCTTGCCCACTTCTCCACTGTTCTACCGTGTCCGGCGGCCCCTTCTGGCACCCTGTCGGGTCTTTACCTCCCCTCGTTCTCTACGAACTTGGTGAGTGGTGCTGACCTCCAGGATGGAGGGGTTCACCAGTTCACTCCTGTGAGTCAGCGAGTGACCCACTGTACCTGTGCTCGGACGGGCCGTCACTTGGCCACGTTTACCCGTCAGCCGGGGTCGAGCCTGTACACACTGACTACTGAGTCTCCTCCGGTCGCTGAGTCTGCTCAGGTAGCCGCGTCGGGTCAGGTGTTTGCTGCGGCGTCCAGGTCTGGTCCTGAGTCTGCCCCCTGCTCGT